CACTGGGCTCTTCTCCTATGATGCAGTGCCTCACCTTCATATCAGAGCATTGGAATTAGCTGTCTGTGGACTGATTTCTTTGAACCCAGGGGCCCCAAATAAACTTTTTCTACCCTAAGTTGTTATGTTGAGGTATTTTGGTCACAGGAATGAAATAAGTAACCAAAACAACCTCTTAAATGTTCCATCTCTTATCAGTAACACCAATAGCTTCTGCACAGGAAGAGAAACAAATAATGGAGTCAAGAGACAACATACAGAAAAAGGTATCAGCAAAATATGTATTTCACAAGGTTAAATTTAATTGATTATTTCATAAGTAATGAATATTGTATGCTTAGTGTCTTTCTTTTGAATCCATGGAAGTAAGAAAGTTATTACTTTTTCTAATAGACATACGTAGAGGTCACAGCTGGGAATAAAGTCTAGTAAACTCTGCAGCTGCTTCCTATTTACTCAAGACATAATGAAAGAAAAAGGAGTCTGTTGCCAAGAGCAAGAATCTGTTTGGCACTTCAACTGTGGTTTGGTACATAGGTAAATTTGGGGTTATGAAAAATTGAACTTAATGTGTCACCTATGATCCTCACCTACTGGTATTCATGACCTTGTGTACTTTCCTGTGCTTGAATGTGAACAATAACCATAACTCTGATTAATAGAGTATGGTTGAAGAAATGTTAACCTCTGTGGTTATGTTACATCATATATGACTTCATCTTCCTATCAATCTCACTCTAGATGTTCTATTTACTTCCTTGAATAAATAAGTAGGTAGTCATAATAATGACGTACATATGGCAAGTAACCCTAGGCAGATTATAGGAGCTGAGAGTTATATCTATAAACCAAGGGCAGCTTCCAGCAAAATGTAAAATCCTCACTCCTACAGCTGTAAGAAAATTTTGCCAATCCTTTGTGAACTTTTGTTTTCATCCCCTGTCTAGTCTCCAGATGAAAACATACCTAGCTGATCCTTCAATTGCAACCTTGTGAGACTCTCTGTAGAGGACTCGTCTAGACCATGCTCAGATTTATGACTACTGGAAATTGTAAAATTGTAAAATAATTTTAAACTGATAAATTTCTGATAATTTGTTACATAGTGTGAAAGTTACCATGGATTGTCAATTTAAGTAGATTGAGGTAAGAAATACCTAGGATTAAGAGTCTTCTGAGTGTGTCTCTGGTGATTGCAGAGACAATAGGTATGTAGGACTGCAAGCTGAGGTGATCAACATCCAAATGTGTATGACACTGTCCAAGAGACTAGGGACCTGGGTGGAGCAAAAATTAAATAAGTCATATCAGATGCAAAGTTGATTCTTATTGAGTGGTTGCATTTATTGCTGCTGCTATTATCACCCCCAAAATCAGATTCTAGCTTCTTCATTCTTCCTATACAGACTCTTACTAGTATTCTCCAGGGATCTTCCTGGCTTTCAGTATCAGAAGGGCTACATCATTGGACCTTCTTGTTCTGAGGCTTCTAGCTTCTTGAACTGGGTAGCAACTCGTTGTTCCAGCTCTCCAACATGCAGATGCCACTGGGGTGCTATCCAGCTTCTGATTGTATAAGCCAACCTAATAAACCTCCTTGCACACATACTGTGATTGCTATTCCTCTATAAAACCCTGAATAATGTACACAGCAATATAAAAACTAATATAGAATGAAGTTTTATTGATAGTATGAAGGTCCTCAAAGCAAGTCAGAAGTTAGAAATATCTTAGAAGTATTAGAAGCTATAACAATAGTTGCACAGACAGACACAC